CACACACACACACACACACACACACACACACACACACCTCATTCATCTCTTTTTCTTAATAAAAAGTAGATATGATGAGGGATTTACTAAAATAAAACAACATTTAATGACTTTTTGTGTTTGATATTTCAGTAAATAACCTGTTATGTGTAAATAAACCCATGGAGAGCAGTTTACCTGAGCTACAGGGCTCTGATGGACGTCTCTGTCCTCTGCAGGTGTCCCAGCACCTCTTCAGAAGAGTTTGATGTTTGGCTCCAGCAGAACGTGTTGTTGTTCACAGCTTGCTTCAGAGCAGCCTGATGAAGTACAGCTCAGCTTCGAAGGATGAGGAGAGAAGAGATAGTTGTGTTGTTGGAGGGGCTCCAGTGGCAAACAGATGAGGAGGGTTGCAGTCCAAGAGTCAGGACTGAACGAGAGTGTGAGTGAGGCTGGAGTTTGTTCTGGCCTCTCCCCCTCCTTCCCTCTCTGCCTCTCTTTCTTCTCCACATCTCCAGAGGAAATGGGCCCGCTGCCTCACTGCCTGCTGTTCAGCATTAACGTATGTTCTCCTGCTTGTTTGTGGCATCTAAAGGAAGCCACATATTGTAAGAGGACACAATGGCTGAAGGCCTCGGTCCTGCATTCCTTCATGCTTTAGATGTCCCACTTTGTCCCCACAGGTCTCTGAGTGACAAGTGGACAGAACAGAGTTGACACACCATCTAAATGTTTTTAAAACTGCAACTTTAAGATCATGTTTCTTTTCTGTTTTAGGTTTGTTCATTTGTTTAAAGGGTAATGGTTCACTCTGTAAATGTGCCAGATTTAGCCCCAGGAGCTCATTTTCTCTGTGGTGCTAAGGGAATTTATTAGTTAGAAACTGATTTAGAAGCACCACACTAAATTCTTATTTTCCCTTTTTAGGTATTGACTATTATGGCCTATTGTTTGATGATTGCTATATCTTGATTAAAGTAGTTTAGAAACATGTCCGGAGCATTTGTCAATACACACACACAAAAAAAAAAAAAAAAAAAAAACGCTTATGAATTCAGTAGTTGAGTGTTGCTGTTCAGAGTGGTCTGCGATGCAGCCGTAGGCCTGCAGGGGACGCACCAGGCACTGAAGCCAGCTGTATAAAAAGTCTGGTTTGCTGTCAGCGTTGCTTCTTCGGCTCTTCACCTGTAAGCAATAAAACTCCACTCATCACCAGATCTGGGTTGTATTGCCTCATATCTTCACACTTCAATTTATTTTCACATTTATGGGTTTGCGTCTCGACTTCAGTTAATTGAACACTAACATTTTCTTACAATGCTTCTAGAAATGTTTTAAAGTAGGTGGCATGGGTGGGTGGCGGGGGCACTGAAAAACCTGGGGTGGTACCGAAACCAAAAGCCGGAACAGAATTTCAGGACATTAGTTCTGTTGTTGACCTGTAGAGGTTATTAGATTTGTTAGAGATTCACCTTGTGATGTACACAGGTTCAGTGTTTTTCTTTTTAATTACACTTTATATCACTTATTGACAGTGTCACACTCAGTTTATTCAAGCTTGTCCTCTCCTAAATGTATATTAAAGGGATCCCCGATTAGTTGTAACATTAGACTTTATATGATAAACATATACTTTAACTGTAAAATAAAGACTGTAAAAATACTGTAGGCTGTTCAGTTTTTATAATTTTTAAACTAAAAGTTTAAAAATATGTTACACAGACGGGGCCACTGTATTTACACACAAAGCATTCTGGGTAAATGATGACATCAACTAGGTCATCAGCATGAGGCTGCTAGCGAACTATATCTACCCTGAAGGTTAATCTTGGTCAATATCTGACAATTGGCTCTTTTAAATGAAACCAGAGAGAGTTGACAGAGAGGAGAAGGTAGAAATGACTCAGCCTGGGACTGAAAATATGGATGGAGGACCTCATTTTAGCTTGTTTGTCGTGCTAGCGCCAAGCTAATACATATAAGGCAATATAGCGTGAGGGCTAGCGCGAAGGCTAACAGGTTAACAAGCTAAGGTTCTTCTTCCATGAAGCAGTTCTGTTGTCCTCCATCCATATTTTCAGTTACAGGCCGAGTAACTGGAAGGCATAAAGGCGTGATTCCACAGACAGTCTTATAAAGCCCAGTAGATCATCAAGGAAATCTTTAGCAGCTGCTGCTTGTTAACTGCCAGAGCCAATCAGAACGTGTGGGAGCAGAATTCTCACAGTACCCTCTCCTCTAAGATTGCCTCACGGCGATTGGGGACGCTTCTCAGGATGGCTGCGATAAAATCAGTGATTAGTGCAGGATCCAAAATGAATGAGCGAGGGATCCAAGACCTTTCCTCCGGTCCGTATCCCTCTCAGTCGACCAGATACTGGAACCCACGGCCTCTGCGCCTAACATCCAGAATATGATTTACAGTGAAGGCAGGATGATCATCAATGAGACGGACTGGTGGAGGTGGGTTAACAGGAGGCGACAGGGGGCTTTCAGAGACGGGTTTGACCTGTGAGACATGAAATGTGAGGTAGACACGCATAGATGGGGGAAGTTTCAGCCTGATAGCTGAGGGGTTAATAATCCTCTCCATAGGAAAAGGACCAATGAACCTGGGAAACATTTTCTTTGGCGTGTCTTTAAGTTTGATGTCTTTTTTAGACAACCACACTTTTTGTCCCACCTGATTGTTTGGAGCCTGGGTCCGATGTCGGTCAGCATATTTCCGGTTTTGTTCTGCCGTTCTGAGGAAAGCTTGTTTGGTCTGACGCCAAACCCTTCGACACCTCCGCATGTGTTGTTGAACCGATGGTACCAGAATGTCGGTTTCTGTATTCGGGAACAAAGGGGGTAAGTAGCCCAAAGAGGCTTCAAACGGGGAAACTCCAGTAGCTGAAGAGGTGAGCGTATTATGAGCATATTCTACCCACACCAGTTGTTCAGACCAAGTAGATGGTTGTTATTAGTGACGCACCTGAGTGAAGCTTCGAGCTCCTGATTACAACTTTCAGTCTGACCATTGGATTGAGAGTGATGGTCAGACGTAAGGCTGTAGGTGGCTCCCAAAACTTTACAGAACTCTTTCCAAACCTGAGAGAAGAACTGTGGTCCACGTTCAGAAACAATGTCAGACGGTGTCCCATGGATACGGAAAACCTCCTGAACCAATAGCTGAGCGGTCTCCAATGCAGAGGGGAGTTTGGCTAAAGGAATGAAATGAGATGCTTTAGAGAACCTGTCAATCACAGTGAAAATGACTGTATTACCTCTTGAGGGAGGAAGTCCAGTGACAAAATCAACTGAGAAATGGGACCAGGGGCATGTAGGTGTAGGAAGAGGTTGTAGGAGACCGGCAGGAGGTTGGTTGAAGGACTTGTTTCTTGCACAGACAGGACAGGCCAAAACAAACTCTTTAATATCCTTGTACATTGAAGGTCACCAAAAACATCTCTTAGAAAAAGAGATCATACGGTTAGTGCCAGGGTGACAAGTAAAACGATGGGAGTGAATCCAGTCCAATACTTTGTTTTTACCCAATGAAGGAACGAACATCTTACCAGAAGGACCATTTCCTGGGTCTGGTTCTGTCCTTTGAGCCTCTTTAATGTCACCCTCGATGGACCAGGTGAAGGCACCCACAAAACAGGAGTCAGAGAGAATGTGAACCTCAGTCTTAGGTTGATCATTGATGGAAAATTGTCTCGAGAGGGCATCAGGCTTGACATTCTTGGATCCAGGTCTGTAAGTGATGACAAAATTAAAACGTGCAAAAAACAGAGACCACCTGGCTTGTCGTGGGTTCAGACGTTTGGCGTTTTGAATGTATGACAAGTTCTTATGGTCGGTCCAGATGATRAATGGAACCTCCGCCCCCTCAAGCCAATGCCGCCATTCTTCGAGAGCCATCTTAATAGCAAGCAGTTCCCTGTTTCCCACATCATAGTTTGTTTCTGCTGGTGAAAGATGGCAAGAAAAATATGCACACGGGGTGTACCTTACCATCCTCTGAGCACTGGGAGAGAACTGCCCCCACACCAATGTCTGAAGCATCAACCTCAAGGATAAACTGTCCTGTGGGAGCAGGATGACGAAGAACAGGAACAGATGAAAACAGAGTCTTTAACACACCAAAAGCCTGGTCTGCCTTGGAGGTCCATTGAAAAGGTCTGAGAGTGGAGGCAAGTCTGGTGAGAGGTGACCACATCGTCCAGCCAACCAGACCAGTCTGTACAGAAAATCATCATTTTAATCACACAAATAATCACACAATAGTTTATAACACTATATCATGTTTCACCTAAGAAAATAACTACAGAATGTGCGGAGCTTTAAAAATCAATAAGTGAACAAACCCCAATAAACTCCTTCATAACTTCCTGAGACGTGTATCCTAACATTGAAGTGATTGGTTTTAGACTTAGACATATATGTATATATATA